TTTTCTATAGTATCTTTCACCATAATACTTAACTGCTCAATGCAAGTATATAGCTGCTGTACTAAAGAGCCACTTCAGTTAAACAAGCATGGAGTCAGCTCATATTAGTACCCAGCAGCACATGGTATGTGAAACAGCCATGGCCCCTTTTCCATGGAGATAAGAGGACCAGGAACTCCCCATGTTCTGCTTTTCACAAATAATGTTTATCATGATGGGATCTTCCAGCTCCCCCCACCATAACGTTCTGACAGTGCAGTAGCAGCCAGCAAAAGTACATGTTGCTTTGTGTCTTGCTAAGGGCCTGACAAGACTAAGCAACAGCTTACAGTTCCTTTAAAGATGTCATCTCCCCACTGCCAGGATCGACTATGAAAAGAACATCACCAAGGAGATAGTCCTGGCAAGCTTCAAATGCACAAGATAAAATGACTATTCAAGTATGTTTTTTTCCAGTCTTATGAAGTAGATGGTGCCCCTTTTCTTAACTGTAGTTCCACTGGTATTAATGGAAATTGAAGTTCCTTACAATTGTGCATTATATACTGTAAATAATGAATAGAAACCTCCATCTTCCCTGGGTTTAACTTGTATCAGCTTCCTTGCATCCAGGTACATTTCCTTCAGACACTGGAACAGCCAAGATTCAGCAGTCTCTGAGATGGATGTGGTTGAGCTATAGTATAGTATAGTAGCCCCTGGCATTTTGATATCTCCAAGCAATTTCACATAAATGTTGAATAGGGCCTTGATTTCACTAGATGGTAGGGAACCCATCCACAACACAGTTGTGTCCCAAATCACGTTATGACACAGTTTGGTTTTGTCTGTGCAGGCCAGACTGAATTGTGTTCTAGCCATGTCAAGACAGTAATATTACAAAGCTGAGGTATGCATAGGATCCTTCTGCCATCTTAGCTGTCGTGGGTTCTGCTTTAAGTCTTGACTCTGCACATACTCATGCAAGTGACTAACTGTCCCAATGAACTCAACAAAACTGCTCATGCCAATAAAGCTACTTGCGTGGCCCATGATTATCAAAATGGGAAGACTACAAAAAGACTCCTAAATCCACATTTAGGCATGTAACTAAGTAGAAGCTGTTGAGACGTTGTCTTTAACTAGGAAAAAAGTTGTATTTGTAACAGCCACCACCACAATCTAGAGTTTACCTCAACTAGATAACACAAGTTAAAAACACACTTGCCTTGTCCACTCTTGGATTTTTATAAACAAAGAGTGGTCCTGTGGCACTTAGGGACTAACAAACATATAGGATCATGAGCTACTTGCAAATCCATTCTTGCATGTCCAGGTAGGTTAAAATGTTCCACTGCAGGTTTACGTGTGTTACCATTCCTGATGTTTGATTTGTAGAGCTGAAGGCTATGAATGCTATTGTAACTCATAACCGTAACAGCTGATTTGGCACTCTGTCCCCCTCTAGTGGCAGCTAGCTGAGGTTCTCAAACTGGGAGTCATGACCCCCTAGGGAGTCACCAGGTTTTTTATGTGATGGTCACAAGCTGTCAGCCTCCACCCTCAAACGCTGCTTTGCCTACAGCATTTAAAATAGTGCTAAATATAAAAAAGGGAGGGTCAAACTCATAGGCTTGCTGTATGAAAGAGGTCACCAATACGAATGTTTGAGAACCACTGAGCTAGAGATTAATGAGTCCATTAGAGTGTTGTCTCAGTGGCATGTGTCTTTTAGCTCATGCTGTAGAGGCTAATGCATTAAGCTACAGAGGTTCCAGGTCTGATCCCAGCTGCTGACAATCACGGTCTGTTGGTGTTCCACTATAGCCGGTATAATGGCCTGTGAATATAGGATCTTGGGTACAGTCATTGTCCACTCCAATGAGCTCCCTCTTAACAAGATAAATGCCAACTCAGTTTTCAACCAAATGATGCTTCTGGTGATGGCTTAATAATTAAACTGATTTTGGACAAAAATATTAAAATCTGAGCAGTTCTTCTTGCCTAAAACACTAAACTAAAAATCCAGAACTAAATTAACAATGACTTCGCCGATTTATAGACACCCTCCGGTGAATCTAAGGTTGTCATGGCAACATGCCTAGGAAAGGCTATGTACAATATGGTCAAAAATAAAGCACAGCAGGGAGAAATCTTTTGAATCCAATTTCACTCTCAAATAAAATTATTATTTTTAAAGGCCAGCTAGATGAGTTCATGTATGGTGTCAATTCTTCCTGAAAGAGACTTTTATGTTTGCTAGCTTTATATATTTATTCAGGTGCATGTTAAAGAGAACTGCAAAGTAAGAAAAGTTTAAAGTGTCTTAAATATAACTAAGAAAGGAACAATCAGATGGTAAACAGTCATCTAGAAAATCAGAGGGAGGGCAGAAAGAGAATGGATTTGAATGCCTAAGAAAACATTTCAAAGCTGTTTAAAGTAGGGCCAAAGAATATGTAAAATTCATCTGAACATCTGAAAAAGCGTAAGTTCTGTTTTTTAATTTAAAATGTTTTGTATATTAATTATTTTAATTATAATTAAATAAAAATAAAGTGACTTTGTTTTAAAACGTTTTAGTTACTATTGCCCAATGTATTATTGTAAGCCAATACTGTTGTTTACATCAGGGTAGTGCATACCAACCCTAGCTGAACGCAGGGCCTGTTTTTATCTAGGCCCTGTTCAAACATATACTAGGAGAGGGCCTTTGCCTCAAAGGGCTTGCTCTCTACAGAGACAAGAGAGGCAGAAGGTGGAAGAAAGGGAGTAGTGTTATGCCATATTTTAAAGATGGGAGATAAAGGTACAAAAAGTTAGGCTGTGACCCAGCTATTGATTCCCTAATGACAGACCCCAATTGAAGTCAAAAGGGTTGTGTTGTGCTGTAACTGTCCCACTTATCAACTGCGTCCCCAATTGGCTGAAAGATGGAATACCATCTCTCCATTGTGCCACAGGACAGGTTATAGTACTGTTACCTATCACACCCATTTTGGGAGGCCAAACCAAGTTCACAATAGGAGGCATAATTGCCAAGGCTACTGCTGGTAGCAATTGAGCAGAGTTGCCAACAGGGGGAAGGGGACTAAAGGGGTTGCTCTGGGGCCCAGTGATTTAAAAGGACCCAAAACTCTGGGCCCTTTACATTACCACTGGACCCCACACAGTGTAGTCCAGACAGTGCTGAGAGCTGGCTGTCCCTAACCCCCACTTCTTCCTGAGGCTCTGCCCCTTCCTTGGGGCCCAGAGCCAAGACTCCGCTCCTGCATATTTTTCAAGGACCAGTGAAGTCTGCTGCCAGCCCTGTACTTGAGCAACTGCAGGCTCCCTACCAGCTGGTAACAACTTTGAGACAGCTCCTCTGCTGAGCTTCTATGACCTCTAGCCATAAGCAGCAGCAGCTGGGGTTGGCTCTCCACTTTCTAACAATGCCTAAAATCACAGGTTTGGTCTACCTATACTCAGCGCTACACCTGAAGGGCAAAGTCGTGAAAGAGGTGCTGGCTTGGCTTTGCCACTGATTTCTTCTGTGACCTTGGGCAGGTCCCTTAGTATCCATGTGTGGCGTAGTGAGGGTGCTGTCTGCTCTGTAACCCGGTGCTCTCCCCACCCCCTGTGCTGTGATGTGAGATTCTCACTGACTCTCCCAAATGTGTATGAACCCAGGCTCAGCCTCCCAGGGAGAGAGACAAAGGGAGGAAGGCAGAGACCAACACCTGGCTGGGGGGCAGGGCCTGGGAGGGAGGCAGTTGGGGTTGGGGAAGCAGGAGGAGAACAGACTAGGGAGGGGCCTAGATTTGAAGGGGACCCGGTCTCCCCCCATCTCAAGGGGGGAGGTTGAGGCCTCCTAGCCCTGGTTACTGTGATCAGATTACATCTATGTTGTGCTTTACCCTGGAGAAGCAATAAACTCCCTCTATTCTACTGGCTGGCGGAGTCTGTTCGTGCCACTACGGGGGTGCAGAAGTTGGGGAGACCTCAACACGCCGTGACACCATGCTGCACCAATCACGGCATGCAAAGTGTTTTTGGAAGTGTTGCGTTCTATACTGTTGTTATTGTATGGAAAAAGTGCTGGCCTTTTAGTAAGATAGTCTCTGCCCGAAAGACTAAAGCAGTCTGTTATAATTATTAGTAATCTCTAAAAACAGTCTTCGTCCCCCAGGACTCTAGGAAAGGTGTATGGGGGGCCCAGTTCTGCACCCTCAGAAAGTATGGGACCTCAGACGAAAGGGGCAGGGCCTGGACAGCCACTCTCAGCACAGCCCGGACTAGGATGCTGCCCCTCCCCTCCCACACACCTCAGACCCAGTGTGGCACTCCAGCAGGGATTTAAAGGGCCCATGACTCCAGCCGCTACCACAGCCACAATAGCAGTGCTGGCAGCCGGGAGCCCCAAACTCCTTTGAATCGCCCGGCCCCAGTGCAACTGCCTCCTTTGACCCCCTTTCTCCCCCCACATCCCAACCCTTTTGGCAGGTCTGCGGCATCCTCAAAGAGTTTACAAGCTATCAAAGTATAAACACTCTTGGAGTGAGATATGAGCGTACAGCACAAAAGCAGTAATACAATATAAGTGATAATTCTGTATACATTACACGTTGCATTACACATTTGCTTGCATGTCTTACAAAGAAAGAAGAAGAGATTAGATCCCAGTCCCAAGAATCCTACAGTTGAAACAGTCCATTTAACTACAGTTTCTCTTGACCAGTGAAGGTTTGTTGCCTTTTGTATATGGATCTTCAGTGCTTTATTTGCCGAGTTTTCAGGAGTGTGTGTGTTGGGGAGGAATGGGAGCCTTAATGCAAGAGAATTTCCTTGTTCCACTTCAAATGGGCTTTGACCTCGAAAGCGATACAAGCCAAACTCTTCCTACCCAGATGGGGAGCAACTCCCATGTCCAGAACCAGAGGATAAAGAGTGGAACTACATTTCCCAGCATGCCGAGCGTGTCCCTTTCTTTTAAAGTCTATACACGTGGGTCTTTAGGAGGAGCTGAGACGTCACATTCCTGCATTCTCTTTGCCTGTGTCAGAGCCGGGTTTTTCTCCTGCTGTGCACTGGGCAGTTAAACCTCCTTCATCAAGGCAGGACTCATGAACCTAAAGGCAGGAATCTGACATCAGGATCCCCTTCCCCCAGCCAGGCCACGCTCTCCCCTAGCCTTGGACGGCCAGCAAGGTAAATCAAGATCATCTCTAGCTGGGGAGTGGTTGGTTTGTATGGGGATTTGCACTTGTGCTTGTTTTGTGTGTGTCTGTGCAGATTGCCAGGAAAAAGCCACCTAATAGCTGGGAACTGTAAAACACACGCACCATTGCAACTGTCTGGGAGCTTGTTTTTTTTCTTCTTTCCATCTGTCTTCCCCGCGCCAGACAAGCTGTTTTTCAGGCTGGGAGCACAGGCGAAAGGGCAGTTCAGTGTTTTGGTGGCAGGGAAGAGCTTAGAGCTGCGGGCTGCAAACCATGTTGTCACTGTCATGTTTGTGTTCCAGGGAGGGGTGTGTTTTCCCTTTGTTGTGAAGCTTCCTTTTGCGGCATTGGGTCGCAGTAGTGGTGGCCAGCGTGCAGCTGGTTGCAATTTGCCGCCCCCCCCCCTCCCCTGCCAATTCAAAAGGGCAGACTGGAGGCTTTGTGTCCAGCGCTGTGATTAGTCAGGGTCCTGTTCCCTTGCTTCTTCCTAGGCCACAGCGGCATGTACTTTGCTTTCATTTTTATCCCTCTCCCATGTGATTCTCCCCCCTCCCCCCGCATCCTTGCGTGGATGTGTGTTGATTGCATGTTGTCTAGACCGATCTCCCCCCTTCCCTTCCCCCGCTGTCGGGGAACTCCCATTGCGGGCTGTGGTGGGGTAGGGGAGCATGAATGGTCAATTGGGCTTCCTGGATCTATCAGGACGGGGTGTTTGTGTTGAGGCATCACTCAGAATCCGTCTGGCACTAGACTCGGGGGATGAAGGCACGTAGCTTGAGCGCGGTGAGAGCTGTATTGAAAGAATGCTTAGATAAACGAGCCCCCCCCCCCCACTATAATCGGGAGCAATGTATGGGGGGGAGGGGGGCGATTGTTTCCTATAATACTGTTTGTTCCAGAAGCGTGTCTGATTGATAGAAGCTTGTTGTTGTTGTTTGATGATGCGTCCTCGGGTTCTTGTGTCTCTCTCCTGATATAGGATTTTTTGGGTGTTTTTTTTTTGAGGGGGAGGGGATTGTAACCCTTTCCTCTTTCACTTGCACACAACTGCTTTAGTGTGTGTGTGTGTGTGCCTAGAATTAAGCGACTTCAGATTGTGCTGCAAAGCTCTTCGTTTTTCTCCATTCCATTCGGAGCCTATTCGTATCGTAAAATTAAGCGGCGTGTGAACAGAGCGATCCTCATTGGGCTTTCTCTTGTTACGCGTCTGGCATTATTTAGGAATGAATACATCGAAGTGCTGCCTCATGGAATGTGGGCGCGTTCGCTGGGATTCGGAAGTGGATCCCAATTCGCAGCCGCCGCGTTCCTGGCTCGCCCGCCGGCACACGCAGTGCAATTCTGGCTGCAAGTCTGCCGGCACACGCAGTGCAATTCTGGGTGCGGATTTGGAGCCGCCTCGGTGGCTTTTTGTCAGCCCCTTCCCGCCCCAAGCCCTCTCTCTCGGCCCGGCCCTCGTGTGTTATCCGGGCTAAGCTGTAGGAATTGGAGAAGGGGGGTGAAGCCAGCCAGCCCCTGCTGCACAACTTGCCCCCAGGGTGCTTGCCACCTGCGCCTGGATGAATGAGCTGTCGCCGCCCGAACCGGATTTGGGCGCGGTCCCGGCTGCCTGGGTTCTGGCACTTCTGGGTGGCTGGGGGACCCCCCTGTCTGCCGCCTCCTCCCCGCTCCCCCCTGCCAAGAGCCGGAGACTTGGAGCCTGGGGGGAGCCAAATGCTCAGCAGCCCCGCAAGGGCCCGGGGAAGTGACACAGCAGCTGGCGGCGGCTGCAGTGAGAGGCGAGGCGCGTACAGCTGCACCGCCGGGGCCTGCTCTCTCCTGTCTGCCACCCTCTGTCCCTGCTTCGGAGATGCTCCCGCCCGGCACTGAGTGCCCCTGCGTCCCCCCCGTAGCCCTCGGCTCCCTGCAGGGGGTGGGGGAGGTGCTGCCCGAGGACCCTGGAATGCCTGCGGTGAGATGGGTCCCAACAGCTATAGCCTCCAGGGTGCTGGCTTTGTACGAGGGGGGAGGCTAGATGTGATTTGGGGAAGAAGAATAAAATGTAGCAGGACTCTGCACGTCTCTCCCTACCATCTCACTGCTCTCTGCGCAGGCCTCCAGCTCATTCTCCGCCTTTTAGGGGTGGCGAAGCAGAAGCACAGACAACTGGTGACTTGGCCCAGAGCTCAGAGTGCCCTGGCTCCCAGTCCCATGCTTTCTGTACAAGAACGCCTTTCCTACTGTCTGGGAGAGGCAGGAAAGAAGACCCCTTGGGTTCTCAATGACTTGCACTTTTGGTTGCACTTTGCACAGCATTATTTCCATTTGCACAGATAGGGGCACAGCCTTGGGAGAGGAGTGGAGCCTGCTCTGAGGGGCGATGACCCTTCCCTCCTTATTGCTTCATCCCCTAAAAAGTTTAACCGTGTAACCGATAGCATTTTAATCGGTTACATGGCTAATGTTTTTCTGTTCCTTAGGTCTCTATTCTGTACCTTTCTCTGCTTGACAGACGAGCCAATTAGTAAGGATTTGTTCCCATGTCTCTACTTTCAAACTGAAATCTAGTATCTCTTCAATCTTCTCTGTTAGCTAAATAGATTGAGCTCCTTCAGTCTGGTCCTACAAAGCATTTTTCTAATTCTTTGCTCATTCTCCTGGCTCTCCCCTGAACTCTCTCCAGTTAATCAACATCCTTGTTGAATTAATTTTGGGCACCAGAACTGAGCACAGGACTCCAGGAGCATCACACCAGTGCCAAATTAGGGGGTAAAATAGCCTCTCTACTCCAGATTGCCCAATTTATGCACCCAAGGATCACATTAGCAGTTTAGGCCATAGCATCATCAGTCAAAGAGTTTATGTTCAGATGATTATCCACCCCAGCCCCCAAATCTCTTTGGGTCACTGCTTCCCAGGTAATAAGCCCCCCAGCCTACATTCTTTGTTCCCAAATGCATACATTTACATTTAATCCTTAATACATATTGTTTGCTTGCACCCAATTTGCTGAGCAATCCAGATTGTTTAATCAGTAATCTGTCTTTTTTGTATTGTTTACCACTCGCCCAATTTTTGTGTCATCAGCAACTTTATCAGTGATTAATTTGTTTTCTTACAGATCATTAATAAAGCTATTCAGTAGCGTAGGATCCCACAGGAAACAGACCCACTCAATGATGATTCCTTTTTACAGTTACATTTTGAGACCTATCAGTTAGTTTTTAATCCATGTAATGTGTGTGATGTTAATTTTATATCATTCCAGTTTTTTATTCAAAATATCATGCAGCATTGGATCAAATGCCTAAAGAAGTATAAATATATTATGTCTATTATTTTTATTAACCAAACATATAATCTCATAGAAAAAAGGTATCAGGTTAATTTGATGATCTGTCTTCTATAAACCCATGTTGATTTACATTAATGATTTTATCCCCCGTTAGTCCCTTGTTAAGTGCTCCATTATCTTGCCTTCTATCAATGTAAGGCTAACAGGCCTATCATAACGTAGGTTATCCTGTTTTCACTTTTTAAACGTTGGCACAACATTAGCTTTCTTCCAGCTTTCTGGAGATTGCTCAGTGCCTCAAGATGAATTGGAAAATCAACATTATGACTACGTTTACATTTCAACGCTATTTTAGGATACCGGAGTATCCTGAAATAGCTATCCCACATCTTCATGGCAATCCCGTTATTTCGAAATATAACGGGTTCGCTATTCCAACATCCCTGAAACTCCTCGTGGAATGAGGTTAAGGGGCATTTCGGAATAGTGGATTGTTTTGAAATTTGATGCTGTTTAGACAATGCCAAATTATGAAATAAGCTATTTTGAAATAAGATCGAAATAAGTTATGCAGTGTAGACATTTGTAGGCGAACCAGGAAGATCCTAATCCAGTTCTCTTAAAGCTCTTGGATGCGCATTATCTGGCCCTGCTCATATTAAAGTGTCTTATTTTAGTATCTTCTGTTTACATCCTCTAGAGCAGTGGTGCGCAACCTTTTTTCATTCGCGACCCCCATTGGTTGAGCAAAAAAAAGAAAAGAAAGCAGCTCCTTTAATTGTCGTGCTGCTCTCCTGCCACTCCCCCACCTCCACCTCGTGTACATCAGGCCCTGAGCTGGGAAGCCAGGAAAAATGGCCGGCTGGATCCGAGCACTGCGACCCTCCCAGGAAGGCAGCTGCAACCGACCCATGGGTTGTGCATCACTGTTCTAGAGACACAAGTGGAATGGAAAAAGAGTTCTGACTATATGATGGGACTTTATCATCTGTTTCCCCCCCCCCCCCCCAATACAAGACAGAAATATCTATTGACTACATCTGCCTTTTCTGCATTATCTACTATATATTTGAGAGAGAGAGTCTGTGAGAGAGCGACTCTGTCTGTTCCAGTGAGAGTTAGGACCACCAAATTTGGTATATAGCTTCCTCTTACCATAACTTAAAGCAAGGTAAGTGTTTGATTGGAACAGCTTCCCATTCATAAGGGAATGCATAAAACCATGCAGAAAAGAAACAGAGTCACCAGGCAGGTGAAGGATGTTGGCTGGGGTGCCCTCAATCCCGAGCCTCCCTGCCCCCCAGCATCCCATAGGGAGGGTGGGGATCTGCAGCTCCTCCCCCCCTTCGTATTGCTGGCTGTTCCCCTTTGTGAGGCAGCAAGGGGAAAGTGCCGTTTGCTCCATTCCTCAATCTGTCTGAGGACAATGAACCTAGACCTGCCCTAGCCAGGGGTCATGCACCCCTCTGCTGGCCGTGCTTGCTGAAACTGCTCACCTGGTCCCAACCTGCTGCTGTGAGAGATGGCTGGGGTAGTCCCCTCTTCCCATGACAGCCTGCATACCCTGCCTGCCCCACCCCGGAGCAATGGTTTAAGTGGAAAAAAAACAAAAATGATTGAGTTAAGGATCTGAGCAACACCATGTAAATCTTCCAGTTATTGATAATTCTAACATTTTCATCTAGCAATGGGCCAGTACTATTGTCAGAATTCTT